ATGCCTTGATAGGTCAATTAAAAATAATCTGCCTCATTTTAAATACACCACTTCCAAATACATTACGCTCTTCAATGCCTTATTAAGCACAGTGTCTGAACTAGGGTAAATAATTTCCTAGATGAGTCAATACTTCCAAAAAAGATTTGCCATTGTTCTATACTGAAATGTTCTGTGCTGTGCTGGCCCTGGTCTGGGTGGTGGTTTACTGCTTACTGATTCTTTAACTTCCTGTCTACTTTCATCTGTTACTTTTGTGTGTAGTTTTTCCCCTCATAATGAACCACTGCTGCTGTTTATTAGCTATCAGTTAAAATTTAGAGAAAATTTGGGGAATAAGAAATATAAAAGTTTAACAAATGAGTAATATCCTTAACTCTAACACAACTCTGGCTTTACAGCTCACTGGGACTGTGTTTTATTTGGTTAAAGTGGACAAAACTTGAATATGATAAAAGTCTATTATTATTATTATTACCAACAAGTTTATGGACAAAGAAAAAGAGACAGGTGAATGTACTCCAGCGAAAATACACATCATGGCCTTTCCTTACTACCCAATAATGAACAAACAGATTTTATCTAGTTTTAAGACTCAAATATCTCTCATTACTATTCTTTAACTGAAAAAAAAAAGAAGAAGAAGAATTGTACATGCTTATAGAAGGTATTTCTCTTTATATCATGCTTTTTGAATGTGATTAAAAAATAAGGTCTGGCGAGCAGGTAACCATGCCTGAATAATTAACATACATATTTAAAATATACATGCATTGAAGTGATCTGCATAATGTAATGAAACCAAAACAATACTGTGACGTGATGGACTGAAGTTCAAGGTTTGGAAAAGATTTGCAGAAGACCAGTTCCTTAAAATTTTATGCTTAAGGAGTATGAAGAACTTCACGGAAGCATCTTCCACATTTCGGTGTCATTTCACCCAAGGAAGTTGCATCTGAAAAAAATGAAAGTTGAAATTGCTAAAACTAATGAGATAGATCAGGTGAAAATCCATCAACTTTAATAAAGATGAGCTAAACCTCTAATTATATGATATTTCATAGTTTTTATATATATGGCATATTTTTATTTTGAAAATAATGCAAAATAATAGTTTTGGATCAAAATGCATTAAAGAACATTTTTAAAAATGTATATGTTCTAGGTGTTTGTGCTCATGTGTTAATAAAATTTATAAAAAGTTTCTGTTAAAACTCCTTTCTTCATATATCTACTGTATTCTGTTTCACTTGAACTTTCAATCTTGGCTCAAAGGATGCTCTTCCGACAAACCAAAGACAGATAAAGAAAAGCTGACTACAACTTTCTGTTTATTGTTAGCTAACATATCAATAATTGCTATCTATTTTGCTCTTGTTAAAAGGATCCCAACATACACTGTCATTTATGTATGATCGTCCTGCTATACTTGAGAGTTATATTAATTTATTTAAATGATAGTTATCAAAATTTTTCTAAAATAAAAATTGTCATGGGCTGGGGTGGTGGCTCAGCAATAGAGTGCTCACCTAGCATGTGCAAGGCCCTGGGTTTGATCCTCAGCACCACATAAAAAAATAAATAAAAGTATGAAAAATTATATAAAAATTATTTAAAAATTGTCATTGTAAAACCAAACATATTCATCACATTATTAAAATAATAGCCTTAATGCAGGCATCTTAATTGTCATATTGCTAATTTCATCAGGTAGGTATCCTGATTTTAATGGCAGAGGTACAGAACTTGCTAATTACGTCTAGAGAAGCTATGATACCTGAGACAGAATACCTCTTAAAATCTGTATTGCTTAGAACTAAGGCCCATTTAAAAACTCAAAACTTTGGTACAATGTATTAATAATTTGAGAAAGACATTGTGAAAATATTAGATTATCTTTTTTTCTAAAACACAGAGGAGATTGCTATCAGTTTGGAAACTAGGTAGTGCATAGCAGCTGTGTCTAGACTTGACCTCAAACCAAGCAAAACTTCCATGATTAGGTACCAGTTTCACTTTTGGTGTGAAGACTTAAAATGAAACCCAGAAGGTGAAAACCCACAACTAAACATGCTTCAAAAGATAATATTTCAACCCTCACAGAAATGAAACAAAGATTTTCAGAATGTCTAAGATCTTGTTTCTCTTTGTTTTAGAAAGAATAACCAGTGAAGTTAACATTCAACAATGACAATTTAGCACCAAGAAGACCTGATGGTCCATGAAGAGAATGTTGGCCTAGAAGGCCAAACCTGAGTTTTAGATCTTGCTTTGGCCAAGAGTCTGTAAATGTTTGGGTAAATCAATTTCCTCTCACAGCACCTGTTTCCTGAATTGCTTTAAAAACTGGAATTGGATTAAAAAACTCTAAGTTTCTGGATATCCAACTACTTAGCTGTTTGACTATAGGAACGTTATTTAATGACTTGTTATCTAATAAATGAGTTGCATGTTATATCACAATATCACATGCTTTTTTCAAAGGCATGTAGTCACAATAGGAAGAAAGAGTTCAAAAATAACCTTGAAAATTTGAATGGATATAAATATCATTTTATGGGTTTCTGTTATTCATATAAAACACAAAACTTCACATGAGGAAGTAAAAAATCTTGGGGATATTTGTGGGAATATAAACAATAATTAAGAAGGTGAATTCACAATGATTGACAAAAGGGAAAGAGAAAATACATGATATTAAGTTCTTTTCTAAACCAGTCTTTCATGATATTACTGTCTTAAGATTTTAAAGATTAAAAAAAGCAATTTTCAAGATGCTAAACAAGATTTGTTAAGAGAAGGATAAAATTTACTAATTTGGATTGCACCCAATAGTGATTCAGGAAAGATTATATTAATTCAACTCTGTAGATTAAGAGTAATCCAGAATTTCTATGGCCTGGAATTTCATATAAGTATTTATATGAACATGTATTTCCTGTACAGTTTGTTTATCATACTTGTTTTGGTTTAACTCAGAAATTTAAAAATGGGTAATGATCAAGGATGGCAAGTTGATTGGATTTAATTGTTTTAATCTCAGTGCCATTCAATTAATACATTAAGAAACTGGAGGACATGGGCCCTATTCCATGAGTTACTTGGTTTTTAATAGCAATTAGCTACTTCCTACTTTAATGTGGTGATTTTTAACAACTCGTAAGAGTGTACTTGGTATATTCTAGATGTGAAGAAAAAGTTCATTCTGAGTTTTGAAGATAGTGCAGTTCAAAAGGTAGTAGGAAGGGGAAGGGATATGGGGGTAGGAATTATAGTAGAAAGAATCAGACATTATTATCCTATGTACATTCGTGATTACACCACTGGTGTGATTCTACAACATGTACAATCAGAAAAATGAGAAGTTATACTCTATTTATGTATGATGTGACAAAATGTATACTATACTGTCATATATAACTAATTAGAACAAATAAAAATAGGTAGTATTCAATAAATGGTTATATTTATGGGCATTCAGTAACTGTAGAACATCATTAATCAACAAATACCCAGTGGACAAAATTTATTTTAATTAAGTCATTCTGATAAAAAATATGTACTTCTTATTGTGACTGTAAAGCATTTGAGGAGAAGGAAAATTGGGTCATTTAAATTAAGGGGGGAATGGGCAAAAACCATGCTTTTGGAGACTCTGCATTATTGATCTGAGGATTATTGTAAGAGAAAGAGGAAACAGAATTACCTCTTTGTTAGCTTGAAACTGATAAGGTAGTTATAGGTTGTCTTAAATGTTTGGGAGAAAAGATAAACCTGCGTAAGCCATATTGAGAGAAAATATATTGCCTAGATTTCATATTCAAAAATATTTAGTTTTTAAAACACAATGTATATGATTAAATAAAGTGTTTGACATATAAAATCAGGATTTAAGTTTCCTGGATTTTAATTCTATCTGCATGTATTACCATATGGCATTATGATTTAATTAATATATCTAAACCTTCTACTTGCTTATATAATAATGATAAAAATAATAATAATCATACACCTTATTAAATACTTATATGTTAGGCACTACCCTAAGTGCTTAATATGCATCCATTCATTTTTATCGTTAGGAAAATACTATGTGTTAGAAATTGTTATTATACTAATTTTATAAAGTAAGATTTAAGAATTTAAGGTCGGTCCTACAGCTAACAGGTAGATGACCTAGGATTTGAAACTAGAAAACCTGATGTCCCATGCTGGCACCTTTATTCCATTTTCTGCACTGCTTCTCAAGATACTGGAGATAGAAATAGTTCTACTTTAAGGGACAGAATGATTCAATGAAGAAATGCATGTGAAGCACTAAGTGTAGGGCCCAACACAGAGTATATTTTCAGAATGGTAATGTAAATTGTTGTTAATCGCAAGTATTGTGTGTGCAACATATTCTAGATTTACTACAAAGATCTGATTTAATCTTCACAACGACACTATACTAGTTTAACATAAAAGACATATAAAAATAAGGTATACTGACAGAAACAAGATAATGAATGACAACCAGGATTTGAATAGGGTATTTTGATTCCATGACTTATATTCTTTCTACTATATCATTCTCTCTCCTATGTTCCATATTATCATAATCCTAGTAATATCTTCATTGATAATAATCAATAAAATGTGTGGTGTTTATAACAAAGGGATGACTATACACTTATGCATATTTATGAAGGTGATTTATTGTGTTCATTATAAGTTTAAACCTTTTTCATGTTAATATTTAATAACTACATAGAAATTTGTGAAAATAATATTTTAGGATGAAGAAGATATAAGACATTCCTCTGTTTTCCAAATGTCTATTAAATTGCTTAGCATCAATGTACTAATTGTATACAGAAATGCTTGAAAAAGTGAATATATGAGCTAAGAAATCAAAAAGGTGATTTATAAGCAAGAATGGATTAGTCTATCATGAAATGTTAAATCAAATACTTGCATGCATTGCTACTTATTCAAATTGTACTCACACTTGAAATCAATTAGCCTCTAGAATTTGAAAGCCGGTTTCTACCAATCCGATCCACGGGGATGCCAAATCGTCTTTTTGGATGAGCTACTACTTTCCTGAAACAAAGAGAATATTTTTAAGCTAAAGTTGCCATTATTAACCATTACTTTTATGCTTCCATTTCATGCAGATCTGGGGGTTTTCTTTGGGAGTTGGAATAAAGAAAATAGTTACATTCACCAGTTACCATTCTCACACTCTGAATGTCTGTGGAAGTGAGTATAACCACATCCATTTTACACACCAGAAACCTGAGGCTTAGAGAAGCTAATATATGCAAAGTCAAATAGACAAAGTGAAAAACCAGATTGTATTGGCATACTGATCTGCTAAGTGGGTAAATCTCTTGACCTCTTCAGATTTTATTCTTCTGTTTATTGAGGAAAACTGAACTGTTCTCTCCAAACTCTGCCTCAGAATAGATCTTTGGGGAAGTATGGTGGTGGGAGAGGAAAGGATGCAGAGAAGAAGGCTGAGTGGAAGGAAGTTTGCCTCTCATGCCTTCATGTAGACTTCACCCAGAAAAACCTTATATGCAGTGGTCTGGGTTGTGTGTATAATCTTGATATTAAATATTGTTTGAAAAATTTAAACAAGCTCCCTATTAAAATGAAGTTTGAAAATATCCACACAGGATTATAAGAGGCCCATTACATCTTTCAGTTTATATGCTCTATACATTGGCTTTTCATTTGGTACATTTATAGTAGTGGGATTCATTGTTACATATTTGTTCATGCAGACAATATTACAATATGATTTGGTCAATTCATTTCCCAGTAACTCCCCTTTTGTTAGCTCTTTTGTTTTATTTTAAAATATTTGCTCTTTAAAAGGAAAACTATATTTAAGCATTTTTATTTTATTTTTTTAGTATCATCATCTATTGCTGTCAAAACAAAATCCTAACATGAGATGTTCAAAAATTAGAATATGTAACTTTCACTTTCTAGCCTTGGAATTAGAGGAGAAACTAGAATTTACTTAATGAAGACAGAGATAGGTGGGATAAACTAAGAAGTCTCTATAAGTGACTTGCCTCTCAGCAAAAGGTTACTAATAAAAGCCAGGCTCCGTGTGTACGCCTGTAATCCCAGTAGCACGGGAGGCTGAGATAGGAGGGTCATGAGTTAAAAATCAGCCTCAGCAACAGTGAGGCACTAAGCAACTCAGTGAGACCCTGTGTCTAAATAAAATGCAAAATAGGGCTGAGGATGTGGCTCAGTGGTCAAGTGTCCCTGAGTTCAATACCTAGTTATACCCCCTGCAATAGTTACTAATACACATATGGCTTTTGGTTGACTTCAAAGTAGGAATATTATAAATGAATTATATTAGACATGTACAGATACGTACAATAAACACCTAGATCAAAAAAATCAAAATATTATTAGTGAATACTTTAGGACTGAGAATCTGAAAAGTTATTCCCCAACCAAATGCAAGGTTTTCTGCTTTATATTTTTGCAAATGACTATAATAATACAGTTTATTGCTTGAAAATCTCAGTGATGTGGCACATATTGCATTATAGTTCAAGTTAATTTTCAACATCTTATTTAAAATATTTATTTTTTAGTTGTAGTTGGACACAAAACCTTCATTTTATTTATTTTTATGTGTTGCTGAGGATCTAACCCAGGGCCTTGCTCATGCTAGGCAAGCATTCCACCGCTGAGCCACAACCCCAGCCCAATTTTCAACATCTTAAAGAGTGGGAAAAAAAAAAGACTTTTGGGGGGAATATTTTCAATAGCTTCTTTAGTTCATTGCTGCTTGCATTATATAGTTAATCTCTACTACATAAGTGCCAAAAATTAATGAAAACCTCAATGATTTTTGAGGTTTTATCCTATAGTCATTCAATTGATTTATACTTTACTATGTCCTTACTATGTATAAGGTTGTTTCTGTGGCTGTCCTGACTTAGATGGATAAGAAATTGCCACAGTCCGGCTGCAGCAAAGTAACCGGGGGGTGACGAGCAACTTGTGTAGATTGATACAGCAGGAGTGGGAGCCGTTTATTGTAGGACAGGAGGGGTATATATACATTCCACACAGCTTATCTTAATTAACATAAACTAGATACATCAGTCAACCAATAAGGAATCTCCACACTTAATGGCTTGCTGGCGTTACTTCACAAACCACTCCCTCTGGCAAAATGCCAGGCGCCATCTTGACTTGTTTATAGACCTTAACAGAAATAGTCTTTGCTTTCAAAAACCTTTAGACAAGTATTCTCAGAAGTGATGATAATTTAATGCAAATTATAGAGGAAAATCTCTTAGTCTTACTGAGACCAAACTTTTTCTTAATGATGGTCCTGATGGTACTGTGAAGCAAATAATTTATTAAAAAGCTCTGAAAAGCATGGAGAACAAACGAAACATGAGGGACTTTTAAAGTTGTACCTTGCACATAAAAATCTATAAATATCATTTAATTTATTTAAAAGAATTAATTTGTAAGTTATTAATATTTAGTGCCTTCTATATGCCTGATGCTGTGTATTGTGCTATCTATACAAGGATGATAACAACACACAGGGGAGCTGATATGTGATTACCATCAAATAATATTTAGGAATATTATATTTTCATCTAATCTAACTTTGTTTTCTGCTGATTCACATCCATCTTCCATTCTGGGTTGGCTCTTGGTTTTGTTCGCTGCATTGACTATATGTATTGTCTTATAAGATTTGTCTTCTAGGAAAAAATTTGGTCAGTTAACTGGGTATGGGAAAATACTTATTGCTCATTTTTACCATTTCTGCATCCCTACCTTCCTTCATTATTTCTGCAAAACATTACTTCTTAAGGTGATGTCTGTTGTTTGCACTTCTGGATTTCTTAATTACAAATTGACTATATATTTGTCAATTTGTTAACCAAATGGGAAATTTGTTATTTGTAAAATTAGCTTAAAATGCATGTTTAAGACTTATAAGAAACTAGGCATGTTGGTCATGCTTTCAGCCATTTGATACAATTATAAATAATTGCTGTGAAAAGAAAATAATGTCTCTTTTGCATTTTAAACTATCTTTAAGCAGTTGTTTTCTTTGTGGTAGTCAGAAAATCAGCTTTCCACAGATGTCTACATGGTAATCCCCAGAATCTGCAAATATGTCACTTGCACACAGGATTAAGTTTAAGGACCTTGAAATGGGAAGATGATGCTACTGTAGCTGAGTATTTCCAGTCTAGTCACTGAAGTCCTTAAAAGGAGATGATGACTGAAGGAGACTAGGTCAGACAGGAACAGCAAACTGAGAAGGACTGCCCACATTTGCTGGCTTTGAAGAGGAAGGAAAAGCTCATGCATTAAGGAATGATGCATCCCCTAGAAGTTTTGGAAAGGAAACAGGGACTTGAGCAACCATGAGGAACTGAATTCTGCCAACAATTTGAAAGAACAGAAAATAGATTTTCCCTTAGAAACTCTGGGAAAGAGGAACAGCCGATGAATATCTAGATCTCCTCTTTGTCCAGATAGAAGACAATGCAAGAAGGACAGCATAGAGCACTCTGCAGTAGAAACTTTATAGGACACCTCTTGGCTAGCAATGGATTCTATGACTCATATGATCACATGACCATATGACCTAGCTGAAAGAAGCCTGGAAAAAGTCATCCAGCATTATATACATGTTGGGTGGTGAGAATATAATGGAGTCTGATCTACAGAATTTTAAGATGATCAATAATTTTGTTGTAATTTTTTTATCATAGCAATCAAAAACCAAATACATCTCTCTATGTGATGTAGGGCTTATGTCTGAGTGTAATGGGGTTAATATATAGAAAATACTAAGCCGATGTAATTTTCACCCTAAATCCCTTTACTGACTATTCCACCATTGTAACTCCAGGAGACCACCAATAGGGCAAAAGCCACTTCAGGAAGGGAGGGAATGTCCCCAGTAGTCTCTGATAAATAGGAACAGGAAGTGAAAAAGCAAACCCTCCCAGGTGTTAAAAGGACTGTCAAAAGGGGAAGGAAATAGCAGCTGGGACAAAGATTCATATGACATGTACACTGATTTCCCAAATCTTCTTTAAGAATAGTGGTCATAAAAAAACAAATATTTTTACTTTTTAAGAGAAGTGTGATATTCTCATAAATCATATAAATTAGAGCAGTAGTGTTCCCTACTGCCAATATATTTTTTCAAAAATGAAAGTAAAAGGAATAGAAATAATATTTTTTTCTTTTAGGCTTTACTACAGTTGATCTTTCCTTGAGAGATCGGACTGTGAAAGAAGATTTTATAGTGCTGAAAGCAAAATAAACCTGCTTTTTCCCTCTTTCCCAACTTCCCTCCCTTTCTTTCTTCTTTTCTTCCTTCCTGGATTCCCTTTCCCCCCTAATTTTTCTTCCCTCCCTTTTCCCAGATTTGATCAAAGCAGTATTAGGAACCGGGAAATGGACGGCTTGGGCTCTAATTTGATTGTTTTACTTAGTGCTAATGTGATCCTTTGCACGTCTGTTATTATCAGCTTCCTTTTTTTGATAAAATTTAGATAATACTTGTTGTTTCTATCTTCTGGAGCTGTTTATTCATTTAATATATTTACTTTTTAAGTAATAGTCAGTTGCATTTGGATTTATTCTATGCACTGGGGATACAGTGGTGAATAAGACATGCTACCTCTCAAGAGTTCACAATTCACCTTGAAAAGACCTAATGAGTTAACGCACGTGAAAACATTTTGTACTTTCCAACTGATATTATTCTTTTCTACCAGTCTAATCCAGTGATTTTCAAACTATTTATAGCCTACCTTTATAAACACAAACACTTTTTAAAAAAGAGCAATATCTAAAGTGTTAGGTGAATTGTGTCAGTAAGTTACCTCTCCTTGTCCATATATAGTGACCACTGAAAGAGCTTCCAGAAACGCTTAAGCCTCCTTAGAGCAGAGGAAGTAGCCAAGTGGGTAAAGTAGAGACTAACAATGGATACATAAGTACTTGATTTATTTTATCAAATTTAGGATTGGTTGCAAATGCTCAAAGGTATATAGAAAATAAATTTTAAAATTAAG